ACGACGAAGGGGCCACCCACGATTTCAATTTCACGACGAAGGGAATCGTGCTCACCATTGTCTCTCTTGAGACAGTTTCCCTTGAAACAAACTTTGTCTCTCTTGAGACAGTTTCCCTTGAAACAAAATTTTTTCTCCCTTGAGACAGTTTCTCCTGAAACATAAACATTGAAAACATTTCCCTTGAAATGAGTTTTGTCTCTCTTGAGATAGTTTCCCTTGAAACAAAATTTTTTCTCCCTTGAGACAGTTTCTCTTGAAACATAATCATTGAAAACATTTCCCTTGAAATGAGTTTTGTCTCTCTTGAGATAGTTTCCCTTGAAACAAAATTCCGTCTCCATTGAGACAGTTTCTCTTGAATCATAAACATTGGAAACATTTCCCTTGAAATGAATTTTGTCTCTCTTGAGATAGTTTCCCTTGAAACAAAATTTTGTCTCCCTTGAGACAGTTTCTCCTGAAACATAAACATTGAAAATATTTCCCTTGAAATGAATTTCGTCTCTCTTGAGATAATTTCCCTTGAAACAAATTTTGTCTCCCTTGAGACAGTTTCTATTGAAACACAAAACCTTTGAGATTGTTTCCCTCGAAACAAATTTTGTCTCCCATGAGACAGTTTCTCTTGAAACACAAAATCTTTGAATTTATCTCCCTTAAAACAAAATTTCGTTTCTCATGAAACAACATATATCTTTGAAATCGTTTCCCTTGAAACGAATTATGTCACTTTTGAGGCAATTTCTCTTGAAGCATCATCTTTGAATATGTTTTCCTTGGAACTAATTTCATCTCCCCGTGAGACAATTTATTTTGGAACTAAGTTTTGTCTCTCTTGAGACAGTTTTTCTTAAAACAAAATTTTGTCTCCCTTAAGACTGTTTCCCTTGAAGCAACAAATATCTTTGAGATCGTTTCCCTTGAAATGAGTTCTATCTCTTTTGAGACAATTTCTCTTGAAGCATCATCTGAATCGTTACACTCAGCTCAGGCACATACTTGGGATAGCTTTTCTCAAATCAAAAATAGAATGTGCACATCAGATTTGAACATTTGAAGAATTTGAGACCAGGGATCAGAACTTGAAGATTCCAGAGCCAAGATTCCAGAAAAACAACCGGAGATCGAGATTTCTCTCCTGAGCCCAAAAATAACATATGTTGCATATGCATTTTAGGCATACCTAAGAGCATTGCATCCATCTCATCACATATATGCATAACTTTTTCAGGTTTTAGCTAGACACAAGTTCAACTTCATAACGAAGGGATGGCTGGTTGTCAACGAACAACTTCCCAATTCCAGAACTGATTTCAACTCCACGACGGAGGATATCGTGCTACCCGAGAAAACACAAGTCCAACTTCACAACGAAGGGACGGCTGGTTGTCAACGAACAACTTTTCAGTTTCATCCGCGATTTCAACTCCACGACGGAGGATATCGTTCCACTCGAGACAATACAAGTTCAACTTCACAATGAAGGGACAGCTGGTTGTCAACAAATATTTTTCAAATTTCAGAGCCAATTTCAACTTCACAGCGAAGGATATTAGACTCGAGACAACACAAGTTCAACTTCACAACGAAGGGACGGCTGATTGTCAACAAGATTTCGTTCAGAGTCAATTTCAACTTCACAACGAAGGATATTAGACTTGAGACAGCACAAGCTCAACTTCACAGCGGAGGATATTGGACTCGGAACAATATTTGGATTTCAACTTCATGGCGAAGGATATCCAATTCTCAGGCTCAACTTCACGACGAATGGGCCCTGTACGATTCCAATTTCACAAACAGATTGACCCAACTTCACGACGAATGAGTCATCTGTACGCATCAACACTGAAGTCTTCAGGTCAAGTTTCACCTTCACGATGAAGTATCTTGATCCAGAAGATGAATCAAAGGCCACTCGCCAAAAGCTTTGAGCTCGATTCCAACTTCACGACGAAGGATATAGTGCTCAGAAGCTTCCAGATGAACTCGACTTCACGACGGAGGAGTCATCCGTAACTCAATTCGACAGGGAGTTATTGAAACATCAGAGTCAATTTTCAACTCCACCGAACGAAAAGTGTGTCTTTCAATCTTTGCCCTATCCCCGTTACACGACTATAGGCAAAGAGGGGCAGCTGTCAACACACCTTTTTCGTCCTACTAGGATTCAAACTCTCAAAAATAGGATATAATTCTGCTAGGATTCAACTCCTAAAAATAGGATAGAATTTTGCTATGTTTTAAACTCCTAAAGATAGAATCCACAAGCACTATAAATAGCCATTGTAGCTCACTATTGTAACACACGATGGGCATACGAAATTACCAGAAGAAAAAAAATACGAGCAAATAGATTGTTTTGAAGCTATTGTAAACAATTCAGGAGCAATAAAAGGTGAAAGCTTTTACCTTTCGCATTCTTTTCTTCACTTGCATGTGTTGTTATTCGTCTTTGTGCTTGAAAAAAAATAGTTTTGGCCGAGGAAAAGGGGTTGTCGTTCGAAACTTTTCTTTTAGATCTACACAACCCCGAGGCCGTTTTGGAAAAATACTAGAATATTTAAAACGAGGGAAGGAAAGGCTTTTAAAAATCAATTTTTTTTTCGAGGTTTGCCGCCGATTAACGGTCATTTATGTATTATTTTCATATTTTTATTTATTTCTTTTTGATAATTCGTATTATTAAGTATATATATATTAATTATTTTTATTCTAATATTATTTTAATGTTTTTTAAAGTTATTATATATATATTTATAACTATTATATTTATTATTATTTTACTATTAACGTATATAAATATATTTTTCTCTTTTGCTACTATTATTATCATTATATGTATATTTTTTATTGTATTTTATTTTTTATTTTTACTTTTTTTTAAACATATGCATATATATACATTTAATTATATTTTTATATTTTATACTTCTTTATTTTTTTGTTTTCATGTATTTATATTATATTACATTATTATTATTTTACTTTATTAAATTATTTTTTTTCGTTATTATATTTATTATATATATATATTATATCATAATATTTTTTTTTGTTTATTCATTCTTACTATATTACAGGGATACATCACACTCATTTATTAACTACGGTCCTACCCCTTATCATCTTTTTCCTTCCCGACAGTTATACTTCACCAAACCTTGACTTTCTTTTTTTACTTTCTATTGGTGTGATTGCGTTTTTTTTTATTTTACTACTTATTATCATTATTATTATTTTACACTTAATAATTATATATTTGTATTCATCTTTTAGTTTTTCATCATTTTTTTTTATTTTTTCCCTTCTATTTTCTTTATTTCATTTACTCTTATTTCCTTTTTCCTTTAACGCGTTTCTCGACTTTTTAAGGTACTCTTTCAAATTGATCGGAGGTAAGTAATTTTAGATCATATGTTACCTTTAAATTTTAACTTTCGATTTTCTTAATTAAAAACAACTGGAAATTACGTAGTACCGAAAGGGCGGTTCAAGGGTGCTAATCATTCCTTGACCGTAACCGACTCCCGAATCCGACATATCTTTGGTAAGACGCAGATCAGGTAAGATATAAGGTATCCGATTAACCTATTTTTTTTAAATAAATAATCGGTGGCGACTCCAATCATATTTTTCAAGTCGAAGCCCAATTCCGGGGCCCAACCGAAAGACGGTTACGACAATAACTTTTCAAAATTAAAAGGAAAAAGATAAAAAAGAAAAAGAAAAAAAAAGAAAAGAATTTTAGGGCAAACCAATTTTAAGCCTATTTTTTATCGAAAGATTTGCACTTTGCATAAGGTAAACTGGATTTTATTGAAGTAAGATTGGCTTTGTCTTGAAAATAACAATGGACTCTCTTATGTTTCTCTTGCTTGGTACTTGCTCTTTGTTCACGTTTAAAAATAAATAACAAGCACGGATTTTAGTGACTTCGATCGTGAAGAATTTGTTTTTATTTTTTGAGGTATCGAGTTTGAGCACAAACAATACCAGGAATACGAATGTTTAACCAACAATGATTGTGCTTTATCTTTAAACAAATACTACTTTATACTTACATCAAATTAATCAAAAAATAATAATAATAACAATGGTTATTTTGATCCATATTTTTTTAAGTATTTTGACACAAACATTTCATTTAAGGGCAAAAAGACCCTAACATTTAACCAAATAAATAGTTTGGCCCTTATTTTTTCTACAATATTTTGATCCATAAAGTTTCATTTTAGGGTAAAATGCATTATTTTGGAGCGTTAACTGTTTATTAACTAACAGTTTTATTCATAAAGGGATTTTTTTGTTTCAAACTAAAACATTAGAAGAAAAATTATATAAAAAAAGAATAGGGGTCAAAGTGAATATTTAGTCGTACATTATGTTTCTTTTGACATTATACCAAAATTAAAGGATAAAGTACACAAATGACCCATTGATTATAGGTTGTTGTATTATTGAATCTTTATACTATTAAAAGTTATAAAATGATCTCCTGATTATATAATATTATTTTATTGAATCTTCCGATTATTAAAAGTTACAAAATGGTCACCGACTATTCATATGTTCCAAAATCGTTATTTTTTTATAAAAAAAAATTGACAGTTATATGAGGTGTATGTTAATTTGTTGATTAATATGTAATAAAAATACATCTTAATGAAGTTTAATGTCACCATTGTTATTTTTAAACATTGACTCAACAATATAATATTTCAAAGATTAACTCGATAATATAATGTAAACAGAGATTCAATTCATAAAATACAACTTAAACGATTATGTGCTAAGATTTTATTACATCTACTTTAATAGGTAAATGTCTCAAACAACCAAAAAAAATTTTAACAGAAAATGATGAATTTAAAATATATAAATAATCAAATATTCATTTTATTTAATAATCTAATGGGACATTTGTATACTTTATCTAAAATTAAAGTAGTAGCATGCTTCTGCTGCTGTTCCCTTAAAGCTAGAAAACTCGATTAGAAACTCGAATTCATTTCTTCCTGTAAACCCTAAAATGATGCACTCCTTGAATCGGATTGCCAAATCCTTCACAAACCCATCCATCAATTCAATTCACTCAAAATATGTTAAACCTCGCTTGAATCCCACCACCCTTCTGAAATCCCTTTCTACTAAACCCCCTCAAAACCACAAAGACGACTCCTGGAACGACGCCTGGGAGACTGCTTGGCTTCCCGATGACGTTTCTCCCAAGAACAGAGCTCCTTGGGAAGCTGACGTTAACTTCCCTTCCAGTGAAGACTCGACTAAATTGGCGCTTTCATCGGACGTCGATGCAGAAACCAAGGCCTTCGTTGAAGACATGAATGAGAATTGGAATGAGAGACGAAAGTCACCCAAGCAGAGGCACAAAGAGGAAGCGGAAAAGGAAAGTAAAGGGTATGGTGGTGGGTTGTATAGTTTGGAGAACATAAAGAAAGATTATAGGTTGAAGAAACAGAGAATCCATGCTGGGTTGTGGATGAAGGAGATTGCCAAATTGGAAGAAGCTAAATTGGGCGATTCCGCCGATGATATCGATAGATTGCTTGATAGTTGCTCTGAGTATGTCTCTCTCTCTCTCTCTCTTTCATGCTCCTTGTTCCTTTGCTATGTTCGGATTAATGAGATATCTTGGTAGGGCTTTGGGTTTTTGTTATGTTCCATAAATTTTGAAACTTGAATGATTATAGTTGTTTGTCTTCATGCTTAACACGTGTATATTGCTAAGGATCTTTGACTCTGCCAATGCTGACTTGGAGAACTCAAAAATCCCAAGCTCTTCTGAGTTAAAAAACAAGCCTGATGGTTGGGAAACAACGTCAAAAGCTCCTGATGGAAACGTGTGGGAGATGTCACAGAGGGAAGAAGATATTCTCCTCCAAGAATTTGATCGTCGAATAGCATACTGTAAATTCCAGGTGCGTGTGCTGTTATCGTCATCGTTATTAGTTATGAGCTCCTTGTCGCCAGGGCTTTGATCTATTGAACTGAAGCTGCTTTTGGTTTACTGAAATTGTACAGGTAGCTAGTTTTATCAAGACTCACATATTTAGCCGGAGGAGACCTATTGATGGGTGGAAATACATGATAGAGGAGATAGGACCTAATGCAAGGAAAGGCAAGGGCAGTGTTTCAAGGTTACCGAGTTTATCAGACTCATCGACACAACCATTCAAGGAGGAGAAGTTAGAAATTGAAAGCGGTATGTCTCGCACGAAGAGAAGGTAGTTTGATTAACAGATATTTGTGTTTAACATTGGATTACATTTTATAGAATAACATGAGAGTTGTAAGTGAGCTCCACTAGGCAAGATGATGTATGTCTCAACTCTCTTGCAATTGTAATGAATTCTTGAGAACATCACTCGCTTCCATCCTTTCACACTAGGATTACTTGTTGACCCTGAATACAATAGCAAGGTGACGAAAAATAATTTTTAGTAGTTCAAATGTATTAGATTTCATGTTCTTATCTCTCTAATATAATATGTTTGATCTTCTTTTCATCGTGTTTATTTATTTCTTAAACCGAGAATTTTAGCAGTCGTCTATGGAAATTTCGTGCATAGCAAGATAAATTTCATTCATTTAAGAATGCTAAGAGAGACGAAGAATTCCAGGGAAGAATGACCAGTGATGAAGATACAAATTCCAGTTGCCCAAGGTAACATGCTGTTACTAATTAGAATTGCAAAATTGATCCAATGAAAAATATGTTGAGCTTCCCTAGAGGCAACAATTTTTTTTTGGATAAAACTAGAGGCAACAAATTGATCCAACGAAGAAAATAATCTGTCAGCTAATCTAAGCAGCAAAATTTAATAATGCTTCCTCATAGTGCACTTTCTTGTATACTTCCTTTCCTATATGCTGATCATCTTTCTCACTCTACCTGTTAATTTCTGACCTGATATCCTTGATTTAAGCTCCTCCATGTAATTTGGAGACAATGGGAGTATCCAATTTCTTCAAGAGAATCTAATAGTGTTCATTTTTCATAACTAATACATACTTATGATATTATGGCGTTCACATACTTTATCCCCATTTTCAGCCCACCAGCTTTCTGCTCGTTCTTCTGTGAAATGTTTCTTACTGCAAAAAAGAGCATATAATCCTTTTAGACTCGATAACTCTAAAGTTGCTTAAGTTTGTGCTATCTATAAATGCTCAGACCTGTGTAAACCCAGAGCATTTGCTTTTTGCAAGTTTGCGACTCAAACTCTGATTGTGGTATTGCAATAATATTTAACATTTTACCTCCGGAAAGGAGACCTTGATTTCAAATCTCTCCCCCATGACTTAACCATTACACACACACAAAAATCAACAGAAAAATGCATTCGACAGAGCAATGAATGCATACCTAAAGCGAACACGCTTGAGCTCATTACCGCCGTCAGGCAAGGGTGACAAAGTTAAGTACACTCCGGGTTCGTCTTGTATTACTATCTCTGACTTTTCAGTTTGTCCTTTGGTCCCATGAGAATTGGAGACGTTCTCTAGATTGCAACTTGCTTCACTTTGTGGAAGCCCAATGGTGGTTGCATGGCAACTATCTGAGCACAGGTACTCGGTGTTTGAGGTGTTTTTGGCAATAGAAATGGAATTTTGGCGGGCATTCTTGGCTGCTGGAAGCTCATCAGCCATCTCCTTTAACTGCAAGACCAGTTGACCATAAACTAGATCAGTTTTAGGATGTAGACTCTATGTTGTATATGTCCTTGTTAAATGCCATAATATTTTAGATAAATCAACTCATACACTTCAAACAATTGAGACTATGTTCATCTATTTTCGAACCTTTAAATGTAATAACATGAACAAAGATATCCAACCTGAGCGGTAAGAGATCTAATCACTTCATTCGCTGATTTGCATTTTTTCGCTTCATTTTCTGCTATTGCAGTCACCTCCTTTAATTTCTTTGATGTCTTTTCAAGTTCAGCTTCAAGGTGTTGGGATTTGTATGTAAGATCTTCAACCTGCAAGAAATGTCCAGCATACTTTAGTTTGAGATAATAGAGAACTTTAATGAGAAAGTTCGCCCCAAGTACAGCTCCCTAAATGAGTTGGAATTTATAGGTCTTAGAATATGAATTACAAAATATGGATCTTTAATATGTATAATGAGAAGAATATCAGTTATGAAGTTTGTCTTACAATTAGCAAAATCAATTCCTAATTAATGCAGTTATTCGATCAGCATCATTGTCCTTTCTGATGAAGTAAATACCAAAGCAAATTCTAAACAAAACAGATAAGTTCTCTGTTTCTTTTTTAAAAGTAGGCAAAGAACAATGCATGCTCACCTCTTTTTAGTATCAAAGCTTCACACTGAATTGAATAAGTAACAGTTCTAATTGTCAAACAAAAGTTTCAAATAGGCTACCTGTGCCCTTAAATTTATGATCTCTTGGTTAGCACTCTCATTCATTTGCTTTGAATCATCAACAGTTACTCCAGAAGATCTATTTGGGCTCAACTTTCCTGAAGCAGGAGATGTTCCCCGAGAAGTCCTTTTGGAACTAGAAATGGAAGCTGGTAAAATATTCTTAGAATCTCTAATCGGACAAATTGGCATCTTAGGTGAATAAAATCCTCCTCTGACATGGAAGTTTCCATTCTGAACCGGGAAGAGGAGACGAGTTTGTGATTCTAGTTTCAATTCATGCTTGAAATTCCTACTTTCAGCCTGATAAAATGAGTCAACAGAAAGTCTGGAGACTTCTGTCTGTAACCTGGGAGCTAAAGCATCTCTATCTATAGATTTACGAGGCAAAATTCCATTTTTAGCTTGAGGAGTCCAGACAGCTGAAATAGGTTCTGCACCTTTTCTCAATTTAAGGAAACATTCATCACACACTCTATATGGTTTGGTTTTAGCCGGAGCCATAGAAGCATTAAGAGATTTTCTGCTAGTGCATAATTTGCAGAAGATTAGTCCACAATTATAACAATTGGTATGTTTTCTTCTGAAACCAAATGGATTTCGACAACCAGAGCACAGAGAATGATCAACACCTGTATGAAGACTTACAACTGCAGTAAAGTTTGAACCACAAGCTACACTCTTGACTTGCCTGTCTTTCAGAAAATCAACTGGAGTTGGTGTATTTCTGTCATTGATATCTCCGTGACCTAATTGCCCATTTGTGCCTTTTCCCCAAGTATAAACCTTTGTTTTGGAAGTCAAAACAGCAACATGATATGATCCACAGGCAATCTCTTCCACAAATTTATATGCTATTTTACCTTCAACCCGAGTTGGAATCTTGCCGTCAGCTGTAGCACTCCCCAATTGACCGTAAGCGGAACTCCCCATTGTATACACTAGTCCAGAGGTTGTAAGAGCGACTGTGAGTTTATATCCACATGCAACATTACATATTTTGTCACATGCATCTACGCATTCAGGAAAGAGTCTTGGTTGGTTATCACCATGCCCAAGTTGACCTTTATCTCCATCCCCCCAAGTAAACAACTTTGCTGAAGAAGAGTTACTTGGAGACCCTGAATCACATGGTTCAGACAAAACCTTAACTACTGCAGCAGTGTGCCAAGCACCACAGGCAACCTTTGTTGTCTGTGATTCACTCAAAGTCTCTACTTCTCGTGGAATAGTTGAGCTAGTATAATCCCCATGGCCCAGAGCACCAAATGATCCATCTCCAAATGTGAACAACTGGCCACCATATGTCACCAGAGCTGTGTGCCAAGGACCACAGGATATAAATGAGACATGAATGCCTTCCATGAAGTTAACCCTTTTGGGGATCCAGTGACCGACTTCAGTTCCATGCCCAAGGACACCCAAGTTGTGTGTTCCATCACCCCATGTAAGAAGATCCCCGGAGACTGTAACAGCACACGTGTGATACTCCCCACATGCTACTGATTCAAAATTCATGCCACTGAGAATATCTATGAGTTTAGGTTTGGGAACATCAGTTTCTACACCATGCCCAAGCCTGCCCCCTGATTCCTCTCCCCAACTAAAAATGTGACCTTGCTTTGTGACCAAAGCGGCATGCGTACCTCCACAGGCAATATTATTCACATCAAGAACCACTGTTGATGCCAATTCTTTTGGTAGAAGTGCATCAGTCTTTGTGTTAAACGAATTTCCAATTTTATCAGTACCACCACCCAATACTCCATTACCAATACCTTGTCCCCATATGAAAACATCACCCAATGGATCAGGCCCTGAACGGGAAGAACCTTGGCTTGATGAGCTCACAACACTTGATAAACTGGTTCTAATTGCATCAGCCCCAGACCTCCGACTATTTGAGGTCTCTACAGACCCAGGTGATACTAAGCCTAAGTCAAAAATCTTGACTGAAGCAGTATGTGTAATTATGTTAGCGAATGCCTTCCCCAAACTATTGGATGCCTCATAGTGTGCTTGGAGTCCTTTAGCATTTTCTGGATCCTGTAATAAAGAGAAGAGTTACAACAAAAAGTAAACACATAATTTTACCACGCTCCATTAAATAGAAAAAAATACCAATTGCGAATTGGGAGCATTTTTTTGGTTGCAGGGTTGAGAACCATCTACTGATGCATTGCCATTTACTACTTCAGTTCCCCATTTTGTATAGGTACCACGAAAAATCAACGCCTTAAGACCAGACAACCAAACTTCAGCTTCATCCTTATCTTTACATATCTGTTAGTAAAGAAGGATGGTATCAATTAAAAGTATCCACACACTATAGTAGCGTAAGTACATTTTACCGGCATTGATACGTTTAATATCTCTGTATAATACAAGAGCATCCATGAACATGCACTCACCAAATTCAAGGACCTGTCATTGCATATCAGTGAAAAGGATTGATACTCCTTTTCAGGTCGAGGATATCGTTGAAAAATGGTCTGCATGCCAAAAGGAAAAAAAAAGCATTATGGTGACAAAAGTTTTGAGAATCAAACAATAATGAAGAGCACAAAACTAACAGTTCGCTGTCCAGGAATGATCTTGCAGACTTCACTAAGCTTAACATGTTTCTCTTTCTTCCCAGAGTACCATACGACTTTAGACTCATCCTGGAAAAAGAATCCAATTATCTAACTATAAAGAATGGGGAAAATGAAGCAATTTTCTAGTGACAACATGTTTTCTTACTAATGATAACTCAATTCAAGGTTTTAGATTAAATTTTCAACAATCAGCAATGCCAGAAAAATAAAACATCAATAAAATTCAGAAAGAAATATGTACATTGGATAATTTGAAAGGGCAGAATTTAGGTTTCCCTCTGCGTCCATACTTGAGCAAATAGGCTCCTTTCTTAAGCGCTGTAATGGCCTGTAATATAATGAATCCCCAGAAAAAGAAGAAAAAAAGTGCATCTTTATTGATCTCCAAGACTGAAAAAAATATATAATTTATTATTTTCCCAGAAAGAAACCTGGTCGATATCCCTGTCGGCGAGACCATTCCTCTGGAAATCAGCCATTTAAGGTGAAGCCATCAGACCACCAATCCTCCCGTATTATTATTCTCCAACTTTGCTCCATGAAAACAACTCCTCTTCAGATAGCTACCATTGTGCAATTTATTTGCTAACAAAACGAATTTGGATATCTTTTTATGGGGATCCAACTCATAAAATTCAACAATTCTCAAGACAAATTCTACTTCAAACCCTATAATTTTTTATGTGTATAATCAATAAACTTTGCATTTCTTCCATTTGTTTTTTTTAAAAAAATCGATCTCGACAATGTCAATGCAATTTCACCCACGATGCCAAAACCAAAATTTCACCCCCTGACGTACTCTGAGGCTGTTGAGCATTTGGCAAATAATTCGAGATCTTAGAAGTTGAGGAAACGATATATTTTTTCTCTAATTCATTCACAAATTGCTTTTCTTTAAAAAGGTTCAAGTTTAAAAATTCCACATTTGAATATGGAATGAAAGGAAAAAAGGGGTTTGAATTTCTTTCTGTTCCGGTCTTCTCCGACAAGGGAGCATTGTTCTAATTGCCTCTTTGTCTAAGAATCTCCTTTTCCCCGGGTTTTTCAACCGGTTCATCGCTCCACGTCAGCATTTGAAATCTAGGGTAAATTACACAATGTAATTAAATTTTATCCTTTTTCAATTTTTTAACTATAACATTTAACTTTAGTTTTAATTTATATTCAATTATGTCGTTATGTAGTTAAGTCGTTAAAAGGATGATGATGATATAGTTAAGAATTACTAACGTGACATATCACATCAAAATAACATCATTTTAATACGATTATTTTGATATTTAAAATATATCGTCTTAAAAATTCAACTTTTAAAATATATCGTTTTTATCATTGAACTCAAGATGAAAAGCATTTAAGTAATAAATACTTTTCAACACTTAGGGTGAAATGTATTTAAAAAAACTGAAATTTATAGTTTTTGATTTTTGTCAAAAGTATTTTTAGTAAAATTATCTCTGTTTTTGTTTATATCATTATTTTTAATTTTTTAAAACAATATCATAAGTATACATTTTGGATTTGTTTGTTTCACTAAAATTGATTTTTCAGAAAATGTTTCTTATTTTCAAGTATTTGGTTGGCGAAAAATAAATTGGTCAATGTAATTTATTTTCTTAGTCAACAGAATTTCTTTTGCATTAAAAAAAAGACTTACGATCTAATTTTCTGTAAGTTATTTTTTTGAACTTTTCACTTCAAACTATAAATACTCAAAACAATGTCATAAGTGGGTTTATTTGTTTCACTGTAATTGTTTTTTTGAAAAATATTTTTCTTATTTTCAAGTGTTTAGTTGGTGGAAACATATTGATCAATGTAATTTATTTTCTTGGTCAATAGAATTTTCTTTGCATTTTTTTTGGAAAATGACTCATGATTTGATTTTTTGTAAGTTATTTTTAAACTTTTCACTTCAAAGCATATATACTCAAAATAATATTATTTTATATATTTAATATTAATATAATATTTTTTGAATTAATCACTGGTATCTGATCTATTGACCGATTAATCTAGATCGGGTACTACAGAGGCAATGACGACCCTCCCAACCCAGTTTGCTGCATTAACAAATGTCAGGATATGAACCCCTGATATTGCTTAAGGAATCTAGTACTTCCTCTTACTAGACCAACTGGTTGTTGGTAATATTAATATAATATTTTAATATCATTTTAATAAAAATATTAATTAATAAAAAATATATTTTAATAATATTGTATTATATTTTTCAATATTATAATAATAAACTCGATTATATTATAACACTATATGATATTATATTATAATTTTAATAATATTTATATATTCTATCAATATCTATAAATATTGAGGATCAATGTATAATTATACTAATATTTTAACAACCACATTACCTCATCGGTTTTTATTAATATAAGGTGATTACAAGGTAGTGTCTATTCTAAAAATTCTCAACCATCTGGCAATGAAAGCTCAATCATTCTTGCAGTCTCTAGTGCTCGAACTTGAGACCTCTAGTAATAACAACAATTCCTTTAATCACTAAGGTAGCTTAGTTCGTGCTACCTCCTCCGTTAAATGTTAATGACAAGTGGCTTGATTGACACACTTAAATTGTTAAGTGGTCTGATTGATAAAATTTTAAAATCGGTGATTAAAATGAAAATGAATAATATTTAAGTGGTCACGTGAATAGTTTATCCAATATTTTCATTACCACCTACTATAAAGTTGTCTTGTGTATTATAATCAACCTGATAATGCATCATATATGTAGTTAAACTATAGGTAATCAAAAAGTTGATATTTGTTTAACACTTTATCATTTTTATATGTAATATCAAAGTTTGAAAACAATATGCGCAAAAAGTAAATAAATAACATATACAAAATTATTTATTTTAACTTAATTCAAATGAGTTTAATAATGGCATAAATTACATCACTTATGACACAAGTCTCCAAAAATATGAGCAGAAGTATATCAACAAAATCACTTCGACTCTGAGTTAATAATGGAGAGTTCTAAAAAGGTATCTCGTTGTTGTACTAATGAAGGCATCATATTTTAAGGTTGTGCTCAACAGAGCATCTCAACACTTTGGAGAAATATTTATGAGATGAGACATCTTGAAGTTGCGATCAACACAACACCTCAAGGCCTTGGATAAAAAACTATGAAGGCATCATATCAGAAGTATGTCGATGTTGTAATCAATGGAGCATCTTAATGTTTTAGATAAACATTTATGAGCGGAGACATCTCGGCATTGTATTCAGTGGAGCATCTTGATACTTTAAAGGAATATCTTTGAGTGAAAACATCTTGAAAAAAATTACTACTATGTAACGTTTATACAATAATGACATGTAATATTTCTTAACTAACAATAACAATTAAATGGATTATGAACATTATTATACGTTGAACCTCTTGGGATGGCACATGTTTCCTTCTTTGGATGTTCGGGGATATTTGATTGCTCTTACTTGTGCCAAACCGTGACGTTGGAGGCTCTTCCCTCATTCTTTCTATGGTGCCTGCTACCTCGACGACTAAACAAAAAGGTCCCAAAATAAGTGGTCGCTTGCTTGGGATTAGTCATCTCAACTACTTTATTTCGGTCAGAAATGTTTCATGCTCACCGTATTAAAATAATAACGGTCAAAATGAGAGACATTAGATTAAGACGTTTCATTTCCTCTAATTTAAACGAAGAGTTGCAGGGAAGACGACCGGAGACAACGATGATCGGGTAACATGAAGAAAAAAAATCTAGGAGAGAGAGAGAGAGAGAGCTTGGAGGGAATCCTTCTTTCATTCATTATCAGCCTCATACTAACCAGATTAGCTTTGGAGGGAATCCGTCTTTCAATAGGACCATTGACTGAATAAGGACGGGGCCTTCTGCCCCAGTTCAACACGTGCCTTGTCTCTGGAAGTTGGTTGGTGCCCCACAAGTCTAGGACACCACATATATAATTATGTCTGTAGCCCAATTTCCCAATTCCAATATAATTATTAAACATAGTTATTTTCCCTTTTTAATTTGCCATGCACTATCAAAATCAAAACCAGTAAAAACGTGAGTGCTATTCATTATAAATAACCAAGCTCATATTATTTGTTGTCAAGGGCGTATCTAGACTTAGGTCTATCTAGGTCATGACCCACCCATGTCAAAATGGGTAAATTATTTATTTAGTCACTCAATTATTATTTAGTTTCTATTTTAGCCATCTAACTATTATCTATTTTAAGTTATATCGAACGTTACATTTTATTTCTGTTTAGGTCACTCATCTTTAAAAAACTAATAGTGATATTGACGTGTCGTCATAGGATAATGTCATATCAAGATTGAAAAATAATTAAAAAATATCACGTTAGCATTACTATTAATTTTTTAACGGCATGTGACCAAAACAAAATCAAAATGTAATGTTAGATATGATTTTGAAAAATAATAATAATTGAGTTACCAAAATATAAATTAAGTAATAGATGAACGATCAAATATGTAGTTTATCCTAAATAAAAATGTGTGAATTATGTTAAGAAAATTATATTACTTCAATTAATATTTTTTTATAGATTTAATATATATATATATATATATATATATATATGATTTTTATTATATTTATATTGATCTAACCTATAAATTTTTCTGAATTCGCCGTGGTGTCAAATTTACATCTTCTCAGAACCAATTCTTTGTTGTGTGGGATAGAATAATTGGGGAGTTCATTTTGATTGTGAAATACTTTTATATGTAATTTGTGAGTTGTTTAAATTAAAAATATACCTACAAGTATTACATGAAAATTTCGAAAGAGTAATTTTTTTCTTGAAAATTTCGATGATTATTGTTTCTATGTAATATTTCTTTTACTTAATTAATTTTTTTATTAAACTAAAGGTGATTATAAAGTAATATTTGTTATAAGTATTTTTAATTATTTGATACTAATGTTTAATTATTCTTGTAGTCGTTGGTGCTCGAACCTATAACCTCTAAAAATAATAATAATTTCTTTAACCATTGAAATAAGTTGATTCATGTTTTTTTACTGAATCACTATATACTGTTTTTCAATGCAAATTTCATAAAATTCTTACGCTAAAATTATTCAGCATCAAAACTATATAAAGTTTTGCATAAAACGCATATATATTTCTTTTAAAAAATTACGTCAAATCATAATATGAATTCATTGTAAATTGGGATATTCAAACTTTTGTTTGATGGAAGAAAAACATGATATTTAAAATTGAGAACTGAATTATTTAATATCAAATTAACGAATTAGAATATTTGATAAGCGAAGATAAGTACAAGAGTTATTATTCTTTAGAATATTCGATAAGTGAATATAAGTATAAGAGTTATTATTCTTTGGGATATTTTTTTGTAAAATGTATTCTTATAGGAGCGAAGTTATGACTATTATTTTAAATTAGTCGTTAAGTTTTTGAATATTTTAATTTCATTCCTAAACCATGATTCTTATTTTAAATTGGCCCCTAAACTTTTGAATGTTTCATTTTCATCCTCAAACTATGGCTCCCATTTTAAATTAGTTCTTAAACTTTTGAACATTTTGATTTCATCCCTAAACTATGACCTTCTTTCTAAATTGATCCCTAAA